TGAAAGTTAAAAATGGAATCTACAAAGGAATTTGTCTTCCAAAGGTGAGTAAATATCCTTCTTCAATTTTGGAGAAATAGTTTTTAATTGTTAAGTATTGGAGTTTAATTTGTAATCGAGAAACCTAAAAACCTTAGAAATCCATTATCACTTTTCAAGATTGGTTTTAGCAAGTCAATTAGACTTTAATTAGTTCATAATGAAGTGTAAAGAAAGTTTATTCATGTGATTTTATGATTGTAAAAATAGAAAACAAAAATTGGAAGGGGTTAGAAAGGAAAAAATTATGTTTCCTGATGAACAATGATGTTTGCAGTGGTGAATTAAAACAAACTTCTATATTAATAGATAAAATATTACTATGATTATTCTATACTATTGGAAAGCTTGTTGAATCTACTTTCCAACGAAATAAATGAAAATTGATTTTGAGTTTTCCATAAAGAGTTGCTAAGTTTTACTTAAAGATGTGTAGGCTGCTTAGCATAAGCAGTAGGGAAGAATTATGAAAATTCTTTGAATTTTTATGCAATCAATTACAAATTGAGCCATATATGTTTGAAAAGCTTATTGAGTCTATTTTGCAACAAAATAAGCTAAACTAAATTCTAAGTCTCCTATGAATAATTATTTAATTTTTACTAAAAGGTATACATGATATTTGGTAGTAGCATATAATGTAGATTTCAAAAATTATTACAATTAATCTACAAGAAATTGCAAGGTGGGCTATATATGATTAGAAAGCTTATCAAGTCTAGTTTCTAATGCATTAAAAAGATCTTAATTTTGAGTTATATATCTTGAGATATGATCGTTTTAGTGAAATGAGTGTAGGTTACCAATATTAGTTAGTTAAGTTAACTGTTATATAATTTAGTTGTTTTAGTTTAAATGGCCTCCAAAAGTGTTAATTAATTTTTGATATGTTGAAATGATCTTAAATAGTTCATTAATTATTTTGGAGAGAAGACTAAATGGTGGAATCAAAAGGAAGTAAATGAAATCTTACATATTTTGCTTGTTTTCAAACCTATGTATATTTATATGTTCTAAACGAGTGAAAATTTATTTCTTTATTTCAATATATGAAAATAAGATCAAGCATATGATTATTTTGTGTTTTTGTGTTTTTGTTGTATAAGTGATGGATCATGCTTATGAATGAAATGAGAAATTGATTTATGCTTAAATAATAATTTTAAGATAGCTATGAATTTAAATCGTTGGAAAGTGGAATCATTGACACCAGAACTAGTTCTACGACCCTAACTAATGGGTTATAATAGTTAGCAATAATTATAAAGATAAAATTATCAATACACTCATTATCATGGGTTATAGTAATGATCGTAACTAATGATGAACTAATAATAATGATGATTTATGATTATGAATTTACGATTTTGAAAGTTGATTCATGATTTGTACAAAATATGTATTTGACCATGATTTACGGTTTATAATTGATGAAATGATATGTTTTAATATGATATCAATTTTTTGAAAAGTTCTAATTGAGTTGTCAATTGCCCAAACTTGTTTTAATATGGTCCCTCCATTTGCTGGACCATCTAAATTGATGGTAAATCCTACATGGCAATAGATTACGTAGAATTTTTTTATGGTTTTTAAACAAATCATAAAACAAAAAAGACAAATGACTAAAAAATTAAATTTTGAGTAGATAAAAACAAAAACAAAGACTAAAAAATAATAAATTTTACTGTAAAAAAGAGAAAAGTCTTGATTTTTTTTTTTTTGTTTTCTTTGTTCAAATTAAAGGGCCTAGATTCTAAGAAAAGGAAAGTTTGGATAAGAAGAAGAAGAAAATGGTTAATAGTATTGTAGGAGAACAAAATGAAAGCATGTTTAGTCATGGATTGTGATTATATTTATGAAAAAGAGAAGCATTTCACTATTTTCAAAACTTTTTTTTTCTTTGCCAATGATGGCTTCACTGTTTGGTAAAGGCCTCTTAGTATTTTGAGTTAACTCATATAGCTTTGACCTTCATGACAAAGGTGAAGTTGTTCTTATGGATGCTTATGGAAGATGCTTACACACAATGAAAAAATGATTTTTTTTATCATTTGAATAATTTGGCTCTGAATTCTGTTTAGTGAAATGCGAAAAGAATTAGATTTTCTTTAATGGGGGGTTTTTTTATGATCTGATTTGGATAAATAGGTATAGATTTGATTTTCATATGGTTTAAAAAGCTTTGATAACCTATTCATGGAGAGCTCTGAATTCGTAGTCAAGTCGTCCATATATTTTTTCTTATTTATTTAGTATTCATTTTTTGAAATAAAAATGTGTTGAATTATCAATTTTAGTTAAATATGAAAAATTACAAAAGTTTCCTTTTTTTTAGTAGGTTTAATATTTTTTAGTGAACATTGCAAATTGGTTGAATCAAAACTACCCAAATTTCACGTAACAAAAGTTTGGATTAAGAGAAAACTGAAAAAATTAAACCAACTGGATCCAAGGTTAATAATATTGGACAAGAAAAATAAGAGAAGAGTTAAAAAATTCTACGTAACAAAAGTTTAGAAGAATATGTGTCTTATCATGTAAGATCTGTTGTCGATTTAGATGATTCAACAGACGAAAAAAATGATATAGATACACATATAAGTAATTAAAGATTCAATTAAAATTTTTTAAAATTTGGAAGCTAATATAGAATTTTGTCCAAAGTTGAGGATCATGTGTACTATTAACTCTTGTAAATAAAATAATCTTGTATTTATTAAGGTGGTATTTATAGAAAGATTTTTAATAATATATTAAGTGAACTTTTAAAATGAAAATGAGTTTTTTTAGTGCATTTTAAAATCAATTAATATATTATTTATAATATATTTTTTTTCATTTAATATACTCCACTCCGTGAACTGGAGAGGGCAGTTCATATTTAAAATGAGGACACGTGTCTTAGTCTGAATTAATGCCACGTTCTTTCTACTAATTTCGTCTCAACTTGTTAAAGGAAAGTTTCCCCCATCATATTTTTTTCTACTATTATTTGCTCTTTGATCTATATCAAATAATGTTTAGGTGAAGTACGTGGAGTCATAACTGAACTACGTTAATTCGGGAATCTATTAATGATTAACAACTCAGATTTCTGGAAACCAAATTATTACAAATGGGTTGAATTTCTTATGGATGTAACTAAGGGATCTCATCCTTGAAGCTTTTGATTTATAGAACAGGAAATTTGTATTTTTATGATTTCTTCTCAACTTGATTTTTTTGCTGTTTGTTTCTCCTAGAGAAAGAAAGTCACACAAGAAAATATATAAAAAAATAAATGAATCTGTGCAAGGTAGAAAAGTTGTTGATAATAAATTAAATTTTATAAAAAATTATAAATATTTAGATTTTAATTTTTTAATTATTTTTAAAAAATAATTATATAAATTAATTAAATTAAATTTTAAATTTAGTTGATAAAAAACTCTAAATTTATCAAATTCCTATAGATGAGAATTAAAATGACTCCGATTGAAGTAAAAGAGTCAATTTTTTTGGTTATGATTATCAAAATTTTAAAATTTAATCATTAAAATTAAATTTAATATTCTATCAATAAATTAAAATAATTGATAAATATCAATTTTCTAATTCTCTTGGAAATAGGAGTAACAACAAAAAAAAATTTTAAAAATGAAAAAATGCCGAAAAAAGATTAGGAGGGAGGGCGAGTGGGGCCCAGTCTTGGTTGGTTAGTGGTTTGATGGATTGATTCTTGGATTAAGGGTTTATCTTTGCGAGGCAGCCATGTGGTCTCCACGCTTTGCCAGTCGCATGTGCTCTTGTCTTGTCTTGTCCCACTCCCACCTGTTACTAACATCTTCTTGCTTTCGCATTTTGCTTTCCTCTACCCCAATTTTTCCCTCTCTTGCCCAGTTTCCACCCACTCTCTCCACCATGCTTCCATTCCTTTTTTTTCTTTTTTTCTTTTAATAACGTAAGAAGTATTTTCTAATTTTAAATTTAATTTATTAATGTTAAAGGTGTAATTCTCACCGCAATTTTATACATTTAAAATTTTACTATAAAGTATTTCATTTAAATCTCTAAGAGTATTTCTTTTTGTTTTGATAAGAGCAAAAATAATTTAGGTAATTTGTATGTGTAAATAAAATCTTAATGAGTATTTTTTTTATTGAAAAAGGAACATTCTAACTAGATTTTTTAACATACATATATATATATATTATAAATCATGGTTGTAGTGAATCATAAGTCCAACAGTAAACTGGAGTTGGTGAAAGGTACCGAAATCAATTCACCTCTAACTTTGACATTTATTTTCTTTTTATTTATATAATGATTGATTGACTGTCGAAATTAATAGGAATAAATACAACCATGTAACGAAGGATTAATAAATGTTTTCTAGATGGTTTTAATTATTACTATGGTTTTATTGTTCATTAATTTCAATTATATTTTATTTTCATGCATGCTTTTATTATTTCTTTTCAACTCAAAATGTTGCTTTATCAAGTGAGTACGGAGTAGACTAAGTGTAAATATTATTGATTTAAGTTGTAAAAGGAAAACATAAAATAAGGTTCAAAGGTAGGGAAAAGCTGTCAATGAACAAAATGTGTCAGTAATCATGAGTAGGAAAGACTCGCATCATCAACATGAATGAGTTTGTTTAGGTTTGTTAGAGTTGCATTTATTTATTATTTAGATTAGATTCGGTGCTAACTATTTAGAAAAGTCACGTTAAAGGCAATGTCAATACAAATATAAAAAGAAAATGAATAATTGGTTTAAGTTATAAAATAAGTATTTTTTTTGTTATATGAGTTTGAATTTATTGAGATTATAGAAAAATAATTTTTATAAATTTGTTGAATTTAATGTAAATAAATTTATTTAAATTAATAAAAAAATGGAGAGAAATTTAAAATTTTTTTACCACTTAAAAATAGAGAAAAAAAAAAGGGCTGAGCATTGACGCAATAGAAAAAGAAGATGCATTTTGAAAGAATACAGGTGACGTAGGGAGAATCAAAATTTCTTCTCAGGCTCCCAACACAGCATTTAAATAAATCCATCTATTTGCACCCCGCCTAAACCACTTCTTAATCTCTCTGTCGCTCTTTTGCTGTGATATTTTTGGCTTCACCAGAAACTTGTATGAGCTAGGAACTCTAGATCCCTCTCTCTTAATGGGAAGCAACGGCAACGGCAACGGCAACGGAAACGGTAACTACTACTTAATGAGTAACGGCGACGTTGATAGAGAGTCGTTGAAGCCGGCGGTGTTGAGCTCGTCGGCTGCCTTGAAGGCTAGAAAGGCCAAGCCAAACGTGGCCTTGCCGAGACACAATGTTGATGACATCATCACCCTCCTTCATGGCTCCGATCCCGTTCGCGTCGAACTTAACCGCCTTGAGAACGAAGTCCGAGGTTCCACATTTTTTTATCTTCATTTCGGTTTATCAGTTTAACTGTTCCTTTGAATTTTTTTATTGAAAAAGTCTTTATTTTTTGGCTTTAAATTTGAGATTTTTCTTCCTGTTTTTCTTCTTTTTCATTATTAATTTCAAAGAAGTACGGTTAATAATAGCAATTTAGTCAAATGTGTAGAAGATTTCTTCAAGTGGTAATTTAATTTTCTTAATATTTGAAATTGAACTTTAAGTTTGAAGCAAAAATGGAAATTAATATAATATCAAGAAAAGAGTTGTTTACTATGTTTTTGCAGATAAAGATAGGGAATTGGCCGATGCCAACGCAGAAATCAAGTCGTTGAGGAATTCGGAACGTCTCAAAGAAAGGGCGGTTGAAGAGGTAAACTGTTGCCTATATCAAGAAGTTTGGTGAAAGTGATTTGATTCTTTCCCAAAATGTTTGTGAAATTTGGATCGCTTTGATTGGAAGAGGCAGGGAATATGTTTTGAATTCTGGGTCCAATTTTATGTCATTTTGATCTATCATGGTTTCATTCGCTAGCTTGTTGGTTGCTACAAGTTCACTTTTCAGGGAAGTATTTTACGTTGAGATCCTACTACTTTGAAATGTGATGTTGTGCTGCTTCTGAACCGATGGTTAGATGTGCAATATGGATTTGGCTTGATTTTGAATGCTGTTAAGCAGAATAATTTTCATATTGAATCTTCAATATATTACTTCTTTGTTTGCAATTTCTTGCCTAGTATTACTTGTCGTTGTTTAGCTTTAACTAAAGGTTTTTTTTTTTTTTTTGGAAATTAAGTCCTGCATTCTTTTTTTTTTATCATTTGATATATCTTAATCTATAAAATAAGAGGTGTGCTATCCATTAGTAGTTATATTTTGATGGCTTGTGCTAAGTAACTATTTGAATAGTAGTTGAAATGTTGTAGTGCTTATCTATCCCATTCTCAATATGTTGATCTTATGATCAAAATTTTCAAGAATACCATTGTAACCATAAGGGAAACAGTGGATCATATTGTATTACAAATGATGCCTGCAATGTCTTGCTATCTCTAATGATTTATGGTTCCAGTTTGTCAAAAATTTATGTTTACTAGAAATCTACTGGAACTTGATCTGTTGACCAATAACCTTATACAATTTATTACTGGATGTATGGGCAGTCCATTATAGAAAACTCAAATTTTGGATAAACTCATTTTATTTGCAAATATAGGATCGAAGTCTTATATCAATTCAACTGGTCTTCCACTGAAACTTTCAGGATGAGGGACGAGGGAGGGGGTTTGTTTAAGCTAAGGCATTTTAGCAAGATTGCTCACTGTTTCCTCTTGTGCAGCTAACAGATGAGCTGAAGAAAGTTGATGAAAAGCTTAAAGTAACTGAAGCTCTTCTAGAAAGCAAGGTATACTGTATGTCTTTAGTTAGATGGCTCATTGAAGTAGTTCTTCTGTTGTTGAGACTAAGAAAATTTCTATGGTTACCATAATGGGTATGTTATGATTTGCAGAACCTTGAGATCAAGAAAATAAGTGATGAGAAGAAAGCAGCTTTGGCTGCACAATTTGCTGCAGAAGCTACGCTTCGAAGGGTCCATGCTGCTCAGAAAGATGATGAAATGCCGCCCATTGAGGCCATCATCACTCCGCTAGAGGCTGAGCTTAAGCTTGCCCGGCTGGAGGTATAGGTCAAACATATCTTTTGTACTTTATCAATCCAAGCATCCATGCTTATGATTTTTAACTGAAACATTTATGTTTCTTAGAACATTAACATCATAATTATGATTCTGTAAAGCATTTTAGGATGCTAGATATGGACATATCTCTTGACTAAATTTTCTGTTGTGATAAAGATTGACAAGGATGAGTGTTCTCATTTTTAGGCAGTGAAGTTGCAAGAGGACAATAGAGCTCTTGATCGGCTAACAAAATCAAAGGAGGCTGCTCTACTTGAGGCTGAGAGAACTGTCCAGATTGCTCTGGCAAAAGCATCCTTGGTTGATGATCTGCAAAACAAAAACCAAGAGCTAATGAAGCAGATTGAAATATGCCAAGTTTGTATATGTTTCTCAATTTTCCGTTTGCATACTATTCACGTAACTCAAATTTTATGTTAGTGGCTGTAGCAAACTGCATAAGTAGTTCAATTTGACATGTCTTGCTCACATATCAGGAAGAGAACAAGATTTTGGACAAAATGCATCGACAAAAGGTTGCTGAGGTTGAAAAGCTAACTCAAACAGTTCGGGAACTTGAGGAAGCTGTCCTGGCTGGAGGGGCTGCTGCTAATGCGGTGCGGGAATTCCACCGAAAAGTGCAAGAGATGAATGTAATGACCATTATTCCTGAAAGATAAATTTTTGCAGAAGGTCTTCTAGAATTGTAGTTGTATAAAAAAACTCGAAATTTCTTCTGACTTCCAAGCTTGAACAGGATGAGAAGAAAACTCTGGAACGGGAAGTAGCCCGTGCGAAGGTTAGTGCAAACAGGGTTGCTACTGTGGTTGCAAATGAGTGGAAAGACGGCAATGACAAAGTTATGCCTGTAAAGCAGTGGCTGGAGGAAAGAAGATTTCTTCAGGCATATTCTGTTTTCTACGTGAACTTTTTATGATTGGGATTTCAGTATGCTTGTTCCTGGTCTGACCTAAAAGGTTCCTTCCTCATGGAAGTTCAAAGAATAGCTAACTTTTGGTTTTCATTTGCAAATGTTGGTTGATTGAATAATGCCAAGGAAGTAGAAGCTCTGGCATTGAAATCATCAATTTCTTATGATACCATGTGACCTGTGTGCGTCAACTAGGATTCTGTCGTGACAAATGGCAAAATGAGAAAATTTTGCCTTCTCCTGGTTTCTTGATATGGTTTAATTTTTGAATTTTAATTTTTTTATAATTGACAATAAAAGTAATTAGGTGGTAGTGAGGACAATTTGTAGTGTAAAGTGATTCCTGATGATTTAGAGTGGAGTTGCCTGTCAGCATGGGAAGAAAAAAACGTTTGTGTGATTAATTGATGTTAATGATGACGACAGCAGCAAGAAGGAAGGTTTCATAGATGATTAATCAATGTTCATGTAAAAGTTGGGGTAGGAAAAGAAGAATATTAATATGGTTTTATTCAAAAGTTAATTAACTTTCCATTTTTTGCAGGGAGAAATGCAACAGCTTCGAGATAAACTAGCCATAGCAGAGCGTGCTGCAAAAGCAGAAGCACAGCTTAAAGTAAGTTAACCAGTATTTCTTCTTATCACTGCTTTTGATATCCATTTTTAATCAGTGCCTTTTTAATAGTTAATTACAATTTTCCTCAGGAAAAATACCAACTCCGATTCAAGGTTTTGGAAGAAAGGCTTAAATCATCTAGTTGTAATTCCCGCACTGGGTCTGAAGGAAGAAGTATGAGCAATGGGCCATCACGGCGTCAATCTCTTGGTGGAGCTGAGAATTTGTCCAAATCATCCTCCAATGTCTATTTATCAAGGAGAACACTGAATCCACATTCTGGATCCGTTCGATCCAACACTGCTGGTGCCTTATTGAACAATGTGAAGATGTCATCTAAATCATTTGATGGGAGTAGATCAGTGGATAGAGATAAGCTGATTCCAAATGTGGCTGAGAAAAATGGTATGCTCCCTGGTACTGGTGATCAGATTCTAGGTAATACTACAAGGTGTGAGGGAAGTGCAAATGGAATCACTGACAAATCAAAAGCAGAGAACAAAGATTTTGTTTCAGGAATGTTATATGATACGTTACAAAAGGAAGTTATAGCTTTAAGGAAGGCTTGCCATGAAAAAGACCAAAGCTTAAAAGACAAAGATGATGCTATAGAGGTGAGATAAGACGCAAATCAGTTTCAGAGTTGCAGTTGCTGTTATTCTTTTTTCCTTATTTATTCTTTTCTTTTTTGTCATTTTCAATCTGATTAAACAGATGCTGGCAAAGAAGGTTGAAACATTGAACAAAGCAATGGAAGTTGAAGCCAAAAAAATGCGTAGGGAAGTAGCTGCAATGGAGAAAGAAGTTGCTGCTATGAGGGTTGGCAAAGAGCATGATCAAAGGACAAGACGTACTCGCAGGGGCGCTATAAATGGCTCTGAATTACTTTCTGCTAGGTGATTCTCCCATCCTATTATGGCTACATTTTAATGAGAAATGTAACACTGAAATGTGTCAATTATTCGGTTTCTTTCCCTTTTGGGGTGAAGGGAAAAGGGGGTGTTAAAATCAAATATATGGATTTGTTGGTTTAGGGTGTGTCATTGTTTTAACTCTATACTTTCATGATTTAAGGTTAATGTATGAAAATAAAGTGTTTGATCCGCTACTATTTCAAAAAGTTATGCTTTCATTCGGACAATTAAAATAAAAAAGAAGGAATAGTCAGAAACATAGGGTGCTTAGTGCATTAAATGCGAGATCAGTTCAAATGAGGAGTTTATTTCAGTTTTATTTATTCTATTAAGAGTTGTGCTTTCTTCATTTTTTTTTTCAACGACAACCATGTGTTAAATTTATAAGAACGTATACTCTTAAAACAAAAAGGGTTCTTATGACTTGGGGCCATATCCAAATTTGGCCATGGAGAGGTAAAACTGTGAATTGAGGTTTTGTATGAATTTGCACTCTGTTTTTTTTTTCTTTTTTTGTGTCAACCAAATCACCTATAAGTAGCTTACGTTTTTTGCTGTATTTTCCAGGAATGGACGAAGATAATAGGCAACTAACATCATGGTGTTGCAATTACAGAAGAATCATGCCATTTAATTGTGAAACAGATATGTATGGTTTTATATTGATTTTCACTTCCTTTCCATCTGTTTTGTTATCGTCTGTCACTGTCAAGCAAGTGGTCCGTTTGAAAAGAACTGACTCTAGGTTTCCAGAAATCATCACGTAAATGTATATTTTTCACTTCATGTATGGTTTTATATTGATTTTCACTTCATGTATTTGTTATGTGAAGCCAAGGCATAAAAATGAAACTAAAAAATTATACCATTTGTTATGGAGGATGTATTTAACTACTAGTACTTTTGTTTTTTCAAATGTTGGGTCTTGTTGAGGAAGAAAACAATGTGTTGTAAGATTATCCTGCGTGATTTGCATGATAATTGTTGAGGATTTCGTAAGATACAGTCGTGTAGCGCTTTCTTATACTATGAATTCATTGGCCGAGATTATAACTATAGGTGCCAGACGCCTTTTTTTCTAAAATTATTTAACATGATACATAATTATTAGTTCAAAATCGGCAACTCCAAGTCTTTGATCATTACAACCTCAAGAGTTGAATCTATGTAGCCTCAATCCGTTCATTCAATCGGATTCTTTATAAACTTGAGCTCTTAGCATGAAAGATGAAAGATTATGATAAATAATTACGCTTCGCTTTGAACGAAAATAAAAAGTATGAAAGGATTACGATAAAAAATTTATTAATTTAATAGTTAAAAGTTTTCAAATTTTTAGGCTTTATTTAATAGGAAAGATAAAAAAATGTGACTATAAAAATTTGTTAATTTAATTATTAAAATTCATAATCACTTTTTAACTTTGTAACTTAATCATTTGATTAAAAAATTTTTCATCTTCAGTCATTTTAATCATTCCCACCAAGGAAAATCCTTAATCTTATTTATTATTAAATTTTTTACTATCTCAAGAGTCTAATCAGTACAATCTAAAATGATTAATTTAAGCTCTTTTGCTTCTTACTGGTCCCCCTGCGTGATTAGGCTACCTTTTTTGCTCAATCACAACATTAGACATGTTTGTGTAACAAGAGCTGTGGTGCGTTCGGATTTTTGGCCCGCACTGATTCATCAGCCAAGACTGGAGCTTCAAGGATCTGTATACATCCGGTGTCCCAACTAAACACTTTTACCTCATTAATTTTTTTCATTCTTATTATGTCCTTACATGAATTTTTATTTTTTTAAAAAAATCTAACATTTGTTTGTTCTCTTCTTTTCTTAGTCTTAATATATTATTTTAATTTAAAAAATATTTAACTATTTATTGAATAAAAGTTTAAGATTTTAAATGTTAAATAAAATTAACATATATACTTAGAAATAATTATCAAATATTTAATAATAAAAGTAATATTTAATATAAAGATATTTTTTAATGTTCAGTTTATTAACAAAATATTATTTTATATAAAATAGTTTTAATAATTTTTAATTGTTTATTAATTTAAAAAATATCAAATATATATTACAAATTTTATTATATATCAATTTTAATTAAATGTCCTTAATGATTATTTCTTTTTCTCATTACATTTCATCTCAATATTATTGTTGCATTTGAATTCATATATATATTTTATCATTAATTTTAATCTAATTATTATAACATTAAATCTCAATATTATAATAATTAATTTCATAAATAATATTATTTTTAATCTCATTAAAATTAAATTTTAATGATTATTTTATTTATTACATTTCGTCTCATTAATATTATTATATTTAAATTTTAATATATATTTTATCATTAGTTTTAATTTTATTACTATAACATTTAATTAAATATTATAATAATTAATTTCACTGATATTATTACTTTTAATCTCACTAAAATTAAATTTTATCGTCCCAATAAGAAATTTCGATAAGCTCGAGTTTTGATCATTTTCTCTTGATAACCCCAAGAGCTATAAATTTTGTTGGCAATCCCAACAAATTCCTTTAACATAACATCAGGTATTACCAAACCACAAACTCGGCATCAACGATCTCAAGGTTCTGTGCACTTGCAAACCACGAGGCAAAGTCCCAATTAATTTGGATAGTCCCGAGTTTTGATTTGGCCAACTCAGTTTCAACAATCCGAGCATTGAATTAACGAAACATATATCAACCTCTCGAATTATGTCTCGGTTTGATTTCTTTGAAATATGTAGACAACCTAATACAGGTGTGACCCAACACACAAAAATCTTTCACAAGCGCAAAATTTTGCTCTGTTAAGCTTTGATCTTTGCTTAAAGCAAGATCGATCAAAGGGGGCAAGCTGTCAGCATCAAAATTTTCTTGACTCGAGTCAACCAAGATTCAGTTGACTTCTTAAATTAACAAAGTTAGGTAAGGAAATGACTGTCCGCCGATCGGCAGGCCCATTAGCTGACCATTTTGACTTCAACAATGGTTGGGTTTAGGTCAATTTATGGTGTAATCACAATTTAATCTTAATTCTATTCTTGAATGAGCCTAAAAGAAGACCATCGATTACACACAACGCTGCTAATCGGTTAGGAAAAGTCCATTTTGAAATGAGAATGAACTTGAATGGAATTTGAGATTTTTCTTACAAATAAAGGAGTCACAGCCGATCGTAGTGCCCTGTGCCGATCGGCTAACACGTGTTGAACAATCATTTAAGAGATAATTCATCAAAATTATATAAAAACCAGATAATCATCTTGGTTAGTTAGCTGATGGAGAGATAATCCTCTGGTTATTTCCATAAAATGCCCCTGATATTCAATAATAAACAGCCCCATGGATTTCTCATTTCAACACATTTCGAGCATTTCTCTTCTCCCTCCCCAAGAAACTTAGTTCTAAGCCTTCCCAAAGCTTTTCCTAAAGTCTTGAGGAATCCTCGTTTTCATCACTTCCAGTTTTTCAAGAAGCCTCATTTAGACGCCTATAATAGCTGTTGTAGCCCGAAACCTTAATCAAAGCCTTCAATTTATGCCAAAACTTTACCTGGCAAACAGTGAAAACCTCAAAAAACTCCAAAACACGACCCGACCGATCGACACCCACGCTCATCGATCTTCACCAGCTTTCCCAACATGTTTTTTGCTTCCATTTCACCCACTTCCCCTATATCAATACCAGAGCTTGTCTTCATCATCCCAAAACATCATCTACGACCTCAACACTAAACCAGAGCCTATCAGCCAGTCCCTCTCCAAACCAAGACCAATTCAGCCATCAAACTATCAAAACCAATGTTGACACTCCGAGATAATCCACTCCTCATCATTTCACTGTTGCCTATTTTCATCCAAACGTTGCCCAAACACCTTCTAAATTTCTAGTTCTCCTTACCAATCATCCCAAAATACTCAAAAAACTCATTTGTATCCTTCATCAAGCCTATCGAAATGTTAGGAACCTGATAACTCTCTGAAAAAAGGCTTTTGATACAACATTTTTAGCTTGAATTGAGTAGTTTTTCTTGCTCTCAGCTAAATTATGCTTCTTTTTACTCCTAACAAGCACAATCCTCTATTTCAGAAGAAATTATGAAGAAAGAAGAAATTTGGCAACTTTTGGACACAATTAGAATCAATTTTGATGTGTCATTGCATGAAGTACATGAAAAGGAAAATCCATGCAAAGTTGATGCATGCAATCGGCCAAGGTGACAAGCCCACGTCAAGACCAGTCCTAGAAGCTCTAAGTCATCTAGTATATTCGGCCCACGCAAGAGAAAAGGAAAGCAAGTGGCTTCGTGAGGAGTTATTTGAAATTTGAAATAGATTGTGCGTAAGTGAAAGATCTCGAAGGGAATCGCTTCAAACTTGGCCCAATCTACCTTTCTCTCCTATCCCATTCAAATTCAAATTGGATGACAAGGAGACCCTTGACAAATTGACAAGCAAGGACTAACCAAATTTGTCAAGCAAGGACTAACCAAAAGCAAGAAAATTGCCACACAAGCTGCCGCATAGATCGAATGCATCCTAGTCGGCAATTGCATCCCACTAAAACTAGAAGTTTTTTAATTTTGAAAGAAGTTGTGATAGCTCAAAACTGTTTAGGTTCAACCACCTTTCCATGGCTTTTCTACTATAAATAGGCTAGCTTACTAAGGGAGAAAACACACCTCTCTTCTCTACTCTTTTTAGATGCCACTCTCTTTTAGTCTCTAAGGTTTTCTTTAGCAAATTTTCTTTGAAGTTTTTCTTGTATTCGGTTGGGGTGACGACCAACCAAGTTCTTTTGAACTCTTGTTCAACTCTTTTTTTCAAGTAAAAATTCAAGTTGTTTAAGTGTTATTTTTATTTTTGCAAAGTTTCAATCAAAGTTTTCATATACATTGCTACTTACTTCCTTTCAAGCAACCTTTTCATTTCAGCTTGTTCATGCAAACCTTGTTTCCTTATAAAAATTTCAATTCCATTCCCAACCATATCACCTTCATTTATTTTGATGCAATCCCATTCCTGTTCGGCTTACTTTATTTACAATCATTCCCTCTACAAGTTTTCATAAAAGTCCCATCTTAAGCATGTCTTTAAGATTTTTGGATTAAGTTGTTGCTCATTTCATTTTCGATTTAACTAGTTCATGTTTTTAGGTTTCATGCAATTTAGGTTAAATTTACTTGCGATGCTATGATCGATAGATAAGAATCATTTAACTAGTTCATGTTTTTAAATTTACTAGCAATGCTTCTGTTTTCACTTTTTTCAATTGCAAGTATACTATATTTTTTTGCGAAGTTGCATTTCAGTTTATAAGTAGTAGTTTAATTTTCTATGAGCCTTCATCAATCTCTTGTTTCAATTTTTGAATATAAAGTAAGAATGTACAATTTCAGTATTAGGAATTCTTTTTCCTTTCTTATATAATACTTATGGGAACGATATTTACTTATTATACTCTATTACTTGATCATGGTATGTGCAATTGCAGACATTACACAGCAACAATCAAATTTTTGGTATCGTCGTTAAGAGTTATTTTCACTGACAGAGATTCAATATCGATACTAACTATCTTTTTCATATTTCAAATTTTATTTTATTATGATTATATGTTATTAATCTTTTAATTACATGTGCAGGTTCAAAAGTGATGATCTAACTCTTTTAGACTAAGAAATTGAAACAACTCTCAGAAGATTAAAAAGGGGACAAATTGGTGCTTCTAGTGATCCCATGACCAAGCAAGGAGAAGATCAAAAAACACTTATGGACTATGGCATCCCCATAACTTTTATATATTGTATAGATAGAGGAGTGCTACGACAGTAAAAAGGAGGATTGGAACTTCAGTCGAGAGAGCTTTGGCTTTGTCACGGGTCGAGACTTAAGCTCCGAACCCGCGCGGCTCCAAGACCCGGGCATTCACCCTTTCGGAGTCCCAAATCAGCCTAACTGCCACGGTTCAC